TTTAAAAACAATGGTTTAATTAATTGTCTATTAGATTATTATTATTATTATTATACATTAAATGTAAAATATTAAATTTTTTAAAAACCGGAAATTGAAAAAAATTATTTAAATTAAAAAGTTTATTTGTCGTTTATTTATAAAAAAAAAAAAAATTTAATGTTCGTTTTTTCTTTTTTTTTTTTTTAAAAATCTTTGTCATTATCATTATCGTCGTCGTCGTCCTCGTCATCGTTGTCATCGTTGTCACCGTCGACGTCATCATTTATAATTTAATTAATAAAATTAAATGCCAAATGTTATTATTATTATTATAAAAACTAAATTGTTTTTCTCTCTCTCTCTCTCAAAAAGAAATCACCTTATAAGAATAGCAGAAAAAGAATTTTAAAAAAACATAATTGTGTTGTTATTAATTAACCTTGAAGGTATTATAAATAATGTTGAGTAAAAAAAAATAAATTATTAATTATGTATTAATATGTTGATATTAAATTTTGTGTGGATTTTGTTTTGTTTTTTGTTGTTGTGTTTGTTGTTGTTTTTGTTTTCGTTGATTCCTGTGCTAATTTTTGTTTTTTTTTTTTTTCCCTTTCCTTTTTTTTTTTTTTTTTTTTTAATTTGCAACTTTTATTAATTTTATCTTATCAACGTTCTTTTGGATTGTATAAGTGCGTTTTTTTTTTTTTTTTCTTGACGAAAGTCAACGATAAACGTTCCAAGTTTTTTAAGGTTACGTTTGTTATGAGAAAACATTCGAAACTTATTATTATTATTATTATTATTATTATTATTATGGGTTTTCCCGTACAGGAAAAAGGAATCGAATTTTTTTTGGTTAATTGAATGTAGGAATGGATATATTAAAGTACTTGCAGGAAAGGAATTTTTTTTTTTTTCATTTTTCTTATACGATCCGCCATATTGCAGCTGGCCTAAATTTAATAAAACACTAATTAATTATAATTAAACAATTAGAAGAAGAAGAAGAAAAAAGAATACGAAGAAATGTTACAAAATTGACTTGAAAGTTTATGATGAAATTGAAGAGAGAGAGAGAGAGAGAGAGAGAGAGAGAAAGAAAGAAATTAAAATTAAATTTTTTTATTTTTTATTTTTTCCAGTAGATTAGTGTCGAATAAAAATCACCAACCACGGCCAGAATGAGAGAATATAAAATTGTGGTGCTGGGTAGTGGAGGAGTTGGTAAATCCGCCCTCACCGTTCAATTCGTACAGGGAATATTTGTAGAAAAATATGATCCGACAATTGAAGACAGCTATAGAAAGCAGGTGGAAGTCGATGGTCAGCAGTGCATGCTTGAAATATTAGATACTGCTGGAACAGTAAGGAGAAAAAAAAAAAAAAAAACATTTTTTTTTCCTTTTGTGTGATAATCATCATCATCATCATCATCATCTCATTCGTTTTTTTCCAGGAACAATTTACTGCTATGAGAGACTTATACATGAAAAATGGTCAAGGTTTTATACTTGTATACTCAATAACAGCCCAGTCGACGTTTAATGATTTACAAGATCTTAGAGAACAGATATTAAGAGTTAAGGTATGTGAAAATTTGAATTCGATGAAAGAAAATCCTCCCTCTTTTTTAACAACACGTTTCCTTCGTTTGTTTGTTTTTAGGATACGGACGATGTACCCATGGTACTCGTCGGTAACAAGTGTGATTTGGAAGAAGAAAGAGTCGTCGGGAAAGATAATGGTATAAATTTAGCTCGTCAGTTTAATTGCGCTTTTATGGAAACATCTGCCAAAGCTAAAATCAATGTAATCGATGTGAGTAATTAAATTTTTCGCGTTGACAAAATGGTTTTTATTATTATTATTATTATTATTATGATAAATTCCATCCGTGAAAGTTTATTAAAATGTAATGTGAATTTTATTTTATTTATTTTTTCAGATATTTTACGATTTAGTAAGACAGGTCAATAAAAAATCACCTGAAAAAAAAATGAAACAAAAAAAGAAATCCTTATGTGTACTCCTATAAAGACTATGTTTTATCAAAAAAAAAAAAAAAAAAATGTTATTACAAAACAAAAAAAAGGCTAAACCGTTTAAAATTTATAAAAATAAAAAAAAAATACATAAATAAATAAGTAAATAAATAAATAAATAAAAATAAAAAAAATACAAAATTGAATACAAAAAAAAAACAAAACAAAAATCAAATTACATAAAAAAAAAAAAACAATTTTTTTCTACGTATTGTAATAATAATAATTATCAATAATAATTCAAAACAAAACAAAGCAAAAAAGTAAATTAATAAATAAATAATTAAATAAATAAATAAATAAATAAATTGTAAATGGGAAATGATGCCGAAGAATAATTAATTGTTTAAAAAAACGAAACAATAAACGGAAGAATCAAATTTTTAAAAAAAAAAACAACAACAACAAAAACAACCGATAAGTGGGAGAGGAAAAAGAATAAATAAATAAGAAGGAGAGGAAAGAGGGAGGACATAAAAAAAACGGGAATCAAGTTCATCGTGGCAGAAGAAAAAAAAAATTCAAGTGGATGAAATGATTTAATAACTGTACCAAAAATTTATTTTTTTGTTTTTTTTGTCTCGGTGACGTCATCGTGAGTTTTTTTTTTGGTGTTTACGGGGGGAAAAAAGGAAGAAAGGAAGGAGAAGAAGGAGAAGGAGGAAAAGGAAAATGGAGGAATCGCTTTCAATTTTACATTTTATTATTATTATTAATATTATTGTCATGCATAATTATTAATTACTATTACTGTTATTGTTATTATCATTATCGTTTTTTTTTTATGTTTTTTCTTCTTTCTTGTACATACCTTTTCATACATTAGTCTTTTCTTTTTTTTTTCACTGTTTCACATATAGTTTTCTCTCTCTCTCTCTCTCTTCCTCTCTCGTATTTCCTTTTTCTTTTTTTTTTTTGAAAAAATCGTACCTCGTTTTCCAACGATAAAGATGTTTATTCAATGTCTTTTTCGCCTTAATATTATTATTATCTCTCTCTCTCTCACTCGATACTCCGAGTAACAAATTTTGAATTGCATTAGTATTTAATGTATTATTATTATTATTATTATTATTAATAATAGTGAATTGTAAAAAGTTTGGAAATTTTCAAGATTTTATTATTGTACCTTATTAAGGAAAAAAAAACAAAAAAAAAAAACGAAAAAAAAATTATTAATTTCCGATTAAATAATAAATAAATAAATAAAAAAAGAAGGAGGGGGAGGAGGAGGAGGAGGAGGAGGAAAAGGAGGAGAAGACAACAAAAATTAAAAAAAAAAAAAAAAAACGTTGTATGAGCAAAAAAAAAAAAAAAAAAAATCACAAATGACAAAATAAAAAATGATGATTTTATAAAGTTTTTCCTTTTTTTTTATCGTTATTATTATTATTATTATTATGGAAAAAAGGGGATTAAATTAGGTTTCAGTTACCGAGCTTTTGTGCCTTTTAAATCGAGGAACACAAAATGAAAAAGAAGGAGAAGCTCAATGAGTCAGAAACAACGTTTTTTTTTTTTTTTCTCTCTCCTCTCTCTCTCTCTCTCTCTCTTTCTTTTATTTTAACCTTTCGGGTTGTTCTAAAGGTATCCATCCCTGTTTCTTCCTTTTTTTTCTTGTTTTCATTCCCGTTTTTTTACACATTTTTCGTACCTCCAAAAAAAAAAAAAATCTTTATATATATATATAAATATAAATATTAGAAAAAAAATTTTTAAAAGTAGTCGAATCGCATTTTTTTCTTTTTTTTTTTTTTTTTTACTGCACAGAAAATAAAAATGAAATAAAAATGAAATGAAAGAAGAAAAGAAGAAAGAAGAAAAAAAGATATAAAGAAAAACGAAAAAAAAAAAAAAAAAAATTTGTTTGGATTTAATTGTCAGTAAAATTAGTAATTGTTATTATTATTATTATTATTATTATTATTATTATTAATATTTGTTGTTGTTTTTTTTTTCTCTTTTATTATCAAATATTCTCTCTCTCTCTCTATCTTTATCACACCCTCTTTTTACTATCTATCATTTATTTCACTTAGTTTAAAAATAAAAAATGAATTTTTAATTATTAATTAATTATAAATAAGATAAAGAAAAAAAAATTAATTAATTAATTTTCTGCCATTTATTTATTTATTTTTATTTATTTTCAAATTTCAATAATAATAATAATAAAATTAATAAAAAAACTGATGTTTATGATTGTTTGTTTGTTTGTTTGTTTTTATAAAATTTTTTCTTCCGGAAAATTTCCTTTGAAAATAAATTAAAATTTTTCTATCAATTTCGCCTTTTTTTTCGTTTGAGTCGGGGGGGAAAAGGAGGGGAGAAGGAAGTGAGTGGGATGAAGGTGGGCTGTGGTGTGGGTGGGGAGTCAGGGGATGAATTATTCCAGACAAAAAGAAAATTAATTTTATTATTATTCGACGTCGTACTTTTTTTTCTTTTAGAAAATTTTGTTATCGTTAATATCATTATTATTATTATTAAATTATTATTATTATCATCGTACGGTGGTTTTTTTTTTGGTCCGTTATAAAATGAAGTATCGAATCGTTTCATATTATTATTATTATTATTTACGGTTTGATTGCTTATAATAATAATAATAGTAAAAAAAGCTTTATTGAAAATTTTCATGCTTTTGTTAATAAAACAAATAATAATAATAATAATAATAATAATAATCCGATACCATTTATTTTTAAAAGAAAATTCGTGACGATTGATATTTATTTATTGACGTCATTCATACCCCCCGAACCGAATGAATGAATGAATGAATGAATGAATGATTGAACGAATGGATTTTAAATGTTATTAAATTCGTCATCCATCCTTTAAATTTTTTTTTTTTTTTTTTTTTTAAATTTAATTATTATGTATAAAAATTACGGAAAGAAAAAAATTTTCAATAATTAGGATTAGAAAATAAATAAATAAAAATTTATTAATTAATAATTAATTTTATTATTATTTATTTAATAACATTTATATATATATATATTTTTTAAAAATAAAAAAAAAAAAAATTAAAAAATTAAAAGAAATTTGGTTGACGACGCATTTTAAAATGAAGAAATCAATCACATTTAATTCTTTTCTTTTTCTTTGTCATTAATAATAATAATAATAATGATAATAATAATAATAATGATACTAATAATAATGATAAAAGTACGAGTATTCATCATGCATATTTTATAAAAATTTGTGTTTGTTTACGCCTATGGTTATTCGTTAATTTTTTTTTTTTAATTCGAAAAAAAGAAAACAAGTTAAAAACAACATCGTTATCATAAGCGTCATTATCATTATCATTATTATCATTTCTTTATATATGTAAATTTGCAAAGTTAAATGAAAAAATAAATAAATAAATTAAAATTTATTTTCAATTTTTTTTTATTTTTAAAAGAAGAAAAAAAGAAACAACAAATGCATGATTCAATTTGCAATTTAATTAATAATAATAATAATTTAAAGCGGTTTTTTTTTTCGATTCGCAAAATAATTAATTAAATTAAATAAATAAAATAAATAAATAAAATAAAATAAAATAAATAAATAAAAATATTATTTAAATTTGTTTTTTTTTTGTAGGTTTTTTTTGTGTTTTTTTCGTAATGGAGTTTTGTAAATAAATAAAAAAAAAGGAACACATTTACTAATCGATTCGACATCGTTCAAATGCACGATTAAATAAATAATAAAAAAAAAAAAAAAATTTTTTTGTAATTATCGTCGAGTGTTCCATTTACAAAACTCCAAATTCGAACGAACGAACGAACGGTTATCATTACAACAACAACAACAAAATTATGTTTATGTTTATGTTTATGTTTGTATTGATAAGAATAAGTAATCGTTTATTAAAAAAAAAAAAAGGACAAAAACAATGGGTGTCAATAAAAAATAAAAACTTTAAACAAGAGGACCGATGATGATGACGACGACAAAGACGATAAATTTTATTATTATTATTATTATTATAAATCTCCCGGTGGTATGACGTTTAACATAAATGACGCAATCGTTTCTGCCTTTTTTCCCTCTGCTTTGGCCGTGTATTGTCCAACATCCGTAGGACCGCAATTTGTTATTTCAAATTTAAATTTTTTACTTCCATCCATAACGAATTGATATTTATTTACTTTTTCATCTATCGGTTTGTTATCCTTTAGCCAAGTCACTGTAATAATAATAATAATAATGATGATAATAATAATAATGATAATGAAATTTTCCAATGATTTACTCTTTCTTCTTCTTCTTTACCTTTTTGCGGAGTTTTTTCTGTTTCGCATTCAAAAGTTGCATTTTCACCTTCGGCAACTGTAGCTGATTGAGGGAATGTTTTAAATATCGGTCCTTTGGGATCTTCTGATGGAACTGGAACCAAAAAAACAAAAAAATAAAGTAAAAAGGAAAGGCGATAAAAAAAAGTTAAGGTAAATGAATGATGGTAATTATTTAGCGTACCGAGAACGATAAGCGTGCAACTGCTAAAAGATTCTCCAGCGTCATTGAAAGCTTCGCACGTGTAAATTCCAGAATCTTCTGGAAATATTTCGTTTATTTTAAGCTTGTAAATGTTGGCTTCGTGCGCGTATTCGAAATCCTTGCTCGGTTTTATTTCTTTGTTATTGTGAAGCCAAACGACGTCGAATTTTTCCGAACCGATTATACGACACTGAAGCACGACGGGATCCCCATCTTTAACGTATTGCGATACCAAATGATCGACAATTTTCGGGGGTTTGTCACTTCCTTTTTGCTGACTGCTTGCTACAGGTACAGCTGTCAATTTAAAAAACAAAAAAAAAAAAAAAATGTCATGACCTCTTTCTTTTATTACAAAACAAAAAACCAAAAATTCCCTTTGTCTTCTTCCTTACATTTAACGGTAAGTTTACATTTGGTTTGTGCTACTCCCAACGAATTAGTAGCTTTACATACATATTCTCCTTCATCTTCCGGATAAACTTCTTTTATCGACAGAGTTGCTATTTTGTTTTTATATTTAAGATCGATTACGTCTGAAGAATTCAAAATCTGAACGCATTTAAAAAAAAAAAAAAAAACAATTAATTTAATTGTCGGGAATAATTTAATAATAATAATAATAATAATAATAATAATAAAAAGCCAACGGCCATAGCGTGCTGGTCACACCGGTTCCCGTACGATCACCGAAGTTAAGCAGCATCGGGCGTGGTGCAAACTTGGATGGGTGACCGTCTGAGAACGCCACGTGCTGTTGGCTTAAAAGAGCAAAAAAAAAATGAGAACAAGACAAAGTAAGAACCAAAAAACAAATCTTGTTCTACTGTCGACCTGAGGCAGCTCGACGAGAACGTGAATTTCACTGCTTCTGACCCTGGTCACTCCAAAGATGTTAGTCACTGGAGCCCAGTTCAGGAGACAAATCGTTCCCATCGAAAAAGACGGACTCAGGAAGACCTTCAAGAATTGATGTGGTGCTATCTTATAATAAGTGGCACCACCGAAATTCGAGTATTTGTCCCTAAGGAATCGGGTAGAAACCTCGGATAAATACTTAAAAACTCCGACAAGTAGCCTTGTCGTGTTTAATGGTGGATAATAATAATAATAATAATAATAATAATAATAATAATAATAATAATAATAATAATAATAATAATATCGATAATAAATAATTTAAATTAAAAAATTACTTGTCCATCTTTTGTCCATTCGCATTGAGGATCGGGATCACCTTCTATCGTGCAACTTAATGTTAACATGTCTCCATCGTTGACAGTCAAATCATTCAAAGATTTTATGAATTTAGGAGCGCACATCAAAGAGTCATCCGGTGGTAAAATAAGTTCTTTGGTTGTGTTACGAGATCTCGATGGACTACTTGTCGAATCCAATTTGGCACCGTATTTTTTCAATGGTTTCTTACCGGAAAGACCATCCGTGACGGCTTTGCTGAGTGACGTCTAAAATATTAATAAAATATTTATCGATGCGATTTTAAAAAACAATTTTCCCACAGATAAAAAAAAAAAAAATTTTCACCTCGAATGAAGATGCGGGGGTGGTTGGCGTGGTGGTCGTTGACGGTTTTGATTTTGTCGGCGCATCATAGGTAGAACTTGGTTTTGTCGTTTGAGAAGTTGGCGTGTAAGAAGGTTTGCTATAACTACCTCTTTTCATTTTAGGTACCGGTATCGAAACGTTTTCCAGAGTGTGATCTATTTAGCGAAAAGAGAAAAATTACAATCATATTTTTGAATCAGGATCGAGGATAAAAATAAAAATTAATGGGGGATAATAAAAGGAACGTACCTTCAACAATGACGACACAACTGGTTTCGTCAGTTCCGTGTATGTTTGTAGCAACGCATTTGTATTTTCCAGAATCGCTTGGTTTACAATCGACAATTTCCATTGTTACAACACCATCCGATTGGCTCATTGTGTATTCGTATTTTGATAATTCTCTACCTTCTTTAAACCACTTGACCTAAAATAATGATAAAAAAGAAAAATTTAAATTTTTACTTATTTACGCTAATAAAAAATTTTTTTTAGGAAAATTAAAATATTTAAATTTACAGTGGGAGTCGGTTTTCCAGATAAACAACATAAAAGTTTGCAGGTATCTCGGGCTTGCATTACACGAGGACGCAAAAGAAAAGTGAAACATGGAACACTTTCTTTTTCTTCTTGCCAAATCTTATACGAAAGTGGTTCTCGTCTTCGAATTTGCGTGACTTCCGGTTTATAAACTGGCAATTCTTTGGGCAATGCTGTAATGTAAAACAAATAATTTAAATTTTCCACGGAATATTTTTATCCAAGGAAATCAATTTTTTTTCTAAATTTTGTCCTTACGTTGAACATTTAAGAAAACAATTTCTTCTCTGAATCCGTAATGATTTTCAGCTCTTATTATATACTCTCCTCTATCATCTAATTTTACTCTATTTATAATAAACGTGTAATCTTCACCCATGTATCTCTTCATGTATTTCACGGATTGTTTCATTTCAGTGTTATTATGATACCAAGTAAGAGTAGGAGTGGCAAGAGCGATGACCCTACACGTGAATTTAGCACTTTGACCCTCGAATGCAAAAGTACTGACCGGTTTAATGACAAATCTTGGTGCGGCTTGTCTTCGATCTAATAATAAAAATTAAGTTAAAAAATTTTTTTATTTATTTAAATTAAACAGGTGAATGAATGAAAAATGAATATTTTATTTACCGAATGATGAATCGTATATTTTGTACTTTTCAACGAGTAATTTTCTAAGGCTTGAATATTCTGCCAAACGACCAATTGGTAATATAAATGAATCCCAATCTGAATATTTCGCTCTAATTTTATCTCTCATTCTGTAATATCTCGACGTGTCAATTAATTTCGTTTTAGATTTTTCATCTCCCATAAGCCAAGGATGTCTTAAACATTCATGTGCAGTCATACGTTTTCTATAAAAACAAAATCATAACAATAATTATTTATCCCTTTCGACTCGATTAATGTTTTACGTAAAATACATATTCGAAACACATACTCTTGACTCTTGATAAGTAATCTTCGTATAAAATCTTTTCCTTCTTCGGAAACTCCAGCAAATGCATCTTCATCAAATTCCCAATCGCATGCTTTGACATTCTTTAATGTTTCGACATCATTTTCACCGGCAAAAGGAGACAATCCGCTTAATCTAAAAAAAAAAAAATTTATATAAATTTTGAGTACGTTGTTTCGTAGCATTGATTTTTTCATTAAAAAAAAAAAAACTTACAAAACGTATGCCAAAACACCGACAGCCCACATATCTGTGTAAAATCCAACGGGTTCGCGTTCTACAATTTCAGGAGCTGCAAATTCAGCTGTGCCGGTAGAAATTTTAACAACATCGTTTGGTTCAAGTTTAGTAGCTAATCCAAAATCAATGAGTTTAATATTTGTGCTATTTCTCGTCTGACACATAATGTTTTCTGGTTTTATATCTAAAAAGAATAATCACGGAAAATGCCAACGTTAGAATAAATACTTTTCATTAAAAAAAGGTAATGGAAGTTAAATAATTTACCTAAATGAATAATGTTTTTCTCGTGCATGTGTTTCATAGCTTCACAAATTTGTCTCATATAGTGAATGACTTCAGCTTCGGTCATTTGATATCCTTCAGCAGTGATTCTTTCAAACAATTCGCCACCCGATAAGCTTTAAGAAAAAGGTATGAAATTATTATTATTATTATCATTTTTTTAAATCATCAGCTCGGTATAAAAAATTAATATTAAAAAATTAAACTCACAATTCAAATATCAAGACCATTTCATCATCATCTTCAAAAGCATCGTGAAGATTAATTAATTTATTGTGATGGAGATGATTCATTATATCAATTTCTTTTCTAATCAGTTCTTTCTCCATTACGTGAGAAATAGGAATGAATTTGGCAGCAAATATACTTCCAGTTTTCTTTTCTCTACATCGGTGTACGACACCAAAAGCTCCCGTACCGATTTCTTCAAGAATATCATAATAATCGTAAACGTTATCCGTTTTAATATCAACGGGTTGCGGTACGTATTTGGAATATATGTCAAACACATATTGGTCATAGTTTTTGATGGGTCCATCGAATTTTCCTCGTATTTTCTTTCCGGTTTCATCCACTTCGTATTTCTTCTCTTTCATTTTCTTCTTGATGGTACCTTTCGTTTTGACAACGCTGCTCACAGCGGGATCACTTTTACCGTAGATGTTTTCGGCATAAACTCGGAATTCGTATTCGTGATTAGGAGCTAATCCGGTAACTGCCATGGTGTTAAATCTCGTACTGCCTACACGGATCCAAGATGATAATGGTAATTCACGCTTTTCAATTGAATAGTTTGTTATGTTAGAACCACCATCCCATTCGGGTGGAAACCACGAAAGAGCCAAAGAATCAACGCCTATGCTGTCGCATATGGGTCGTTGTGGTGGATCTGGCCTATCACTAATTTGAATATTAATAATGACTGAATCTTGACCTAAATCGTTTTCAGCTACCAATCTGTAAGAGCCACTGTCTATTTTATTGCCGTCTCTTATTGTCAAAATAGCGTGTCTTTCTGTGGTTTCAATGGCGAAATGACTTCCGGATTCTATTATTTCACCATCTCTTGACCAAGTGATTTTAGGTTTTGGATATCCGATAAATGGAATTTTAATGATAACGTTTTCTCCTTTATCGAAGAAGGCGGTATCTCTAAATCTTGGTGGAACGTTGATTTTGGGAGGCGTCATTATAAAGAGTTCAGCTCTCGTCGATTTGACTCCAGCTTTATTGACCGCTCGGCAAACGTATTCGTCCGCATCTTCTCCGTATACATCGTTTATTATCAAAGTATAAGTTTCACCTTCAGCAAACATGTGAAACCTTGCGCTGTGAGTAATTTCTCGAGCTCCTTTGTACCAAGTAACTGTTGGTTTTGGAGTTCCTGATATGGTGCATTGAAATTGTGCATTATGATTTTGTATGGCGTTGACATTTCTAAGTGGTTTAACTATTTCCGGAGATTTAGCTGCTTTGGGATCAACAATCTTTACAGAAGTTGAATTAGCCGAAGGAGCGCTAAGTCCTCCTTCATTTTGTGCAAAAACTCTAAATTCATACTGACGACCTTCAATTAAGTTACTAATATTAATTTGGTTGGGGCTACATAATGCCATGTTAACCCGCTGCCAAGTTTCGCTTCCGGCTTCTCTTTTGTCGATCCAATAACCCTGTATTCTAGAACCTCCGTCCGATTCAGGTTTATCCCAAGATAAATTAACAAAGTTTCCGCCTACTTCTACAATGCTAGGTATGCCTGGAGCTGAAGGAGCATCAAATGGAGCTTTTGCTTTAATAGGATTTTTACCTTCTAAAGGTAAGCCCATTCCATTTTCATTTACAGCCATTACTCTAAACAAATATTCTTGACCTTCCGTAAGTCCTTGAACAGTAAATGTGGTATCTTTGCAATAGGAGTATACTACCACCCAATGATTATGGCTTATGTCTTTTCTTTCAACTACATAGTGAGTGATTTTCAGACCGCCATTATGTAAGGGAGGTAGCCAATTCAATGTACAAGTGTGTTTGGTTATATCAGTTACACCGAGTGGACCTTGAGGTGGACCCGGTAAACCTGTTGTGGTTACAGTAAATGAACCACTAGCAAATCCACTATCGTTTTTACATTCTACTACGTAATTTCCGCAATCGTCTTTTTCTACTTCTTTTATAAATATAATTGCGTATTCATCAAATATGGTACATCTTATACGAGAAGAGTCTTCAATGTCTCTTCCTCCTTTCTTAAGAGTAACTGTCATTGGCTGGTCACCAGAATAAAATATCTTAATCTTGGCATTTTCTTTCTCTGGTAGATACAAATCGCCAGGTAATTTTTCAATTTTAGGAGGCGTTCCAACTTTAAGTCTGGCCACTGACGTAGAAAATCCTATGGCATTAATTGCTTCGCACATTATATCACCGCTGTCCATTTCATTCAAATCAGAAATTTCAAGCTTGAATACGCCGTCTTTTGTTGCAGAACAACTAAATCTGCCACCCATTGTTAATTCCCGTCCATTCTTTAACCACCTGGCTGTAGGCGGAGGAACTCCTTTTGCTTGACATTCAAACACAACTGATTTCCCGATTGGAGCAATTTGGTTGGTAAGAGGTCGAGTAAATTCTGGTTTTTTACCACCCTCGACTTCTTGTATTTTAACGGGTGTAGTGCAAGAACTAGGCTCACTTTTTCCGGCTGCATTTACCGCAAATACTCTAAACTCGTAATCAGCTCTTTCAATCAAATTAAGGCAAGTGTATTCACAATCCGTGACGTTATACTCATTAGCCTTTTGCCATACAGACGGCCCACCAACTTCTCGTTTTTCTACTATATATCCAGTTATTTTGCTTCCACCGTCAGATGTTGGCGGCATCCATTTCAAATCTACGTAGTTTCTGCCAACCTATAAAAATGCATAAAAATGTGTAATTATGTTTAAAAATGATTACACATTTTTATAAATAACTCAATGAAAATTTGATAAGTACCTTAACAACTTTTGGAGAATTAGGTGGTGAAGGAACTGCAAATTTACTCTTTAATTTGAAGGCTGAGGATGGTAATGATGGTTTACTCCAACCTGCAGCATTCTTGGCTTTAATTCTAAATTCATATTCATGTCCACTTAGTAAACTGTGTACTACAAAGTTAGTATCTTTAACAAGGTAGTCATTCGCTGCTCTAAATGATTTGTCCTCCAATACATCTCTACAATTAATTTAAAAAAAAAAATTAAAATTTATTCCTTAATATTTTAAAATAATATTTGTAAAAATAAAATACCTGAATTCGATTCTATAACCCTGGATTCTAGAACCTCCGTCCAATTTAGGTTTGTCCCAGTTAAGAGTAACACTTCCCATTGAGTCCCAGTCAACGACTCTTGGCTGACCAGGTGGATCAGGTACAGTAAATGGAAATTTAGCAACAATCGGAGAATCGGTTTCTAAAGGCTCACTTATTCCGTATTGATTTTCAGCTCTAACTCTGAAGCTGTAACTTTTATTGGGTTCTAAACCTATCATATCGTAATGACAATTTCTTACAAAACTGCTTACTTTAACCCAAACCTGAAAGAAATGAAAGCACAAGTTGTTCAATTGAAATTGTTTAATTTTAAATGATAATTATTTTCAAATTAAAAAAATTTTTCTTAATCAAAAATACCCTTGAAAATGGATCCAACTTTTCAAGAATATAATTTGTAATTGGAGAGCCACCATCATCCAAAGGTGGTTTCCACGAGAGTGTACAGGTTTCGGGAGTTATCTCTGAAACTTCTAATGGACCAACCGGAGGAGAAGGTTTATCTACAACTAAAACTTTACAAGAAGCACTGTCGGAACCACTTGAATTAACTAATTGTATTGTGTACAATCCGGTATCTCCTCGTTTTGCGCATTTATTTTTAAATATTGTTTGAATATCGGTCGTATCGAATTTAATTCTGTCCGAAGAAAATACTTCTTCTCCGTTTATGGTCCAAATAGGTTTCGGTCGAGGATTAGCAACAAAAGGTACAGTTATTGAAAATTCTTCACCGGCAATTACAGTCATATCTCTTATGCTCAAATCACTTGTAATTTTAGGAGCAAACGGAGATGATTGACAAACAATTTCGTCCGACGACTGACTCCAAGGACCTTGTCCTGCTGCATTGACTGCAGCAACTCTAAATTCGTATGTATGATTGTTTAATAAATTAGGTACTCTGAAATAAAAGAATTACGTATAATTTATGTTCTATTTATAAGATATGCAATTATTTGCCAGTGAAAAAATTTACTTGTATGTAGTATCCGGAACATGGATATGATTTGCTTTAATCCATTTATCCTCAGATATTAGTCTTCTTTCAATAACATAACCCGTTATAGGAGAGCCACCATCATGACGTGGCCTCATCCAAGTGATAGTAATGCTATCTTCTGTCGTTTCAATACCCCGTGGAGTTCCAGGAGCACCGGGAACATCTAAAATTAAATATTTGTATTTAATATTTATAAAAATTTTTTTTCTTTTCAATTAAAATTGAATGACTCTTAATAGAGTCAGGTTAATTAAAATATTTTTAATCTAAACCTACCGAAAGGATATTTGGCTTTGATTGGTTCTTTTGTTGTTGCCGGTTCTGATACTCCATATTTATTTTCTGCCATAACTTGAAATTCATAGTCTCTACCGACATTTAAATTTCTTATTCTTAAAAATGGAGTTGTCACGTAACTGCTCACCTGTGAATTAGGTTAAAATTTTTTGATAAAGTATTATATTACTTTTAGTTTTAATTTTATTTTAAGTATTTTAGAAAAATTATATTGTAAATCTACCTTTGACCAGGTAGGAGATCCAACTTCTCGTTTTTCTACGATATAATTAGTGACATCGTCTCCTCCATTATCTTTAGGTGGATTCCAGAATAAAGTTAAAGCTTCACCAGCAAACTCTTCGGCGCGTAAGTTTTCAGGAGGACTAGGTTTGTCCAAAACTTTTACGTTTACTGTTGCTGTGTCATAACCAGATGGATTTTTAAGTTGCAATCTGTATTGACCTGTATCTGACCTCTTAGCATTTTTCACTACGAAACTAGCATACGTATCGGCCAACTTTATGAAAAAAAAAAAAAAGATTTATAAAAAACCGATACCTGATTACCTAAAAAATTTTAAAATTATAAATACCTGTTGATGAATTCTATCGTCTTTGTCATTGATATCATTGTCGTTGAAAAACCAAAAAGCTGATGGTTTGGGAAAACCAACGTAAGGCACGTGAATGGAGAAATCTTCTCCCGCTCTTACAGTTATGTCCCTAACGCCACCTAAGTCCATGCATGGCTTGTTAGGCTGTTCTTCAACTTTTATTGCGCTGGTAGGTCTACTAGGTTCTGATTCTCCAACATCATTAACGGCTTTGATACGGAACATATATTCCTCTCCTTCCTTAAGCTTTGGTACCTATTCATTCATAATAAAAAAATTTAGAAACTTTCTAGTCGTATTTCAAAAAAAAAAAAAGATTTTATTAAAGATCTTACAGTGTAAACGAAAGCATTAACGGGAGATGTATTAACATCTTCCCAATCTTTTCCTTTAGCCGGTTTTTTCTGTACAATGTATCCTTTAATTTTACTACCGCCATCGTTGCGCGGAACATTCCAAGATAAAGTTACGCTGTCTTTAGTAATTCTATCCGGTTTAGGTGGGTCTGGAGCATCTGGTCGTCCTGTAAAAACGGTTAAAAAAGAAATTTTTTAATTTTTTAGAAACGTTAAAAAATTTAATTAAAAATCAATGAAAACAAATTTACTCTTTTGGGCTGAGGCTACAATCGCTTCAGATGGCTTGCTAGGTTTACCAGGACCGGCTTCATTTACGGCAATTACTCTGAATTCATATCTCGATCCCTCGTGTAAATCTGGGACAGTGTAAGTCGTGTTTGATGTGGGATAATTGTTAACTTTTACCCAATCACCACCTTTTTCTCTTTTCTCAACGTAATATCCTGAAAACGGTTGAAATTAATTTATGAGATAAAATAAATTTTAATATTAAATTTAAAAGGTAAATATTAAAAATTTACCAGTGATTGGTTTTCCTCCGGTATTAAGAGGAGGTTTCCAAGATATATTGCATGTGTTGGGCGTGTAACCTAAAATTTCCGGTTGGCTCGGTGAATCAGGTGGATCAAATGGACTCTTTGCGACCACTGGAGTTCCGACTAGTGGTTCAGATAAACCATAAAGGTTTTCTGCTTTTACACGAAAAACTAATCGTTTTCCTTCAGGTAAATTTTTAGCAGTAAAGGTACATTTGTTACAAAAACCAGGAACAGGTCGCCACGCCTCGGAACCGAATTCGGTCATTTCAACGACATAACCTAAAAATATTTGCGTTCGTATTTAAAATTTTTTTTTTTCGTAGAAAACGAAACACATTGTAATAGTAGTTGATTTTACCTGTAACATCGGCACCTCCGTTGTCTTTTGGTGGTTGCCATTCCAATCCAATTGTATCTTGGGAAATGAGTTTGTAGTTTAATGGTCCTGTTGGGGCTCCAGGACGATCAACTACAATGACTTCTATGTCAGCTGAATCTTTACCGAATTCATTAGTTGCTTTTACTGTGTAAAATCCAGCATCATCTCTATTTGAATTTTCGATTCGGAATTTGGTTTCATCACTTGTTGTACTCAACTAAAAAAATTAATTACCCAATGAAGATTATTCATTGTTTTAAAAATGTTAACGTCTTTACATGAAATACGTACTGAAACTCTGTACGATTCGGTTACGGGTGATTTTCCTTTCATCCATTCGACTTTAGGTTTTGGAGCTCCGCTTAGAGGAATGACAATATTAATTGGTTCCCCTGCTCTTACTCTTATCTTTCTGCCGAGTAATCCATCTAAATGAAGTTTAGGTACTTCTGCAAAGCAAAATTTAAAAGTTTGCAATAAATTTAAAATAAAAAAATTTAATTACAAAAAAAAAAAAAAAAAAATTTACCTTTCATTGGTTTTGCAATAAATACATTAGAAGTTTCACTTGGCTTTCCATGACCAGCAGCATTAACTGCTACCACTCTATATTCGTATTGTCTACCTTCTTGCACTCTGTCGTCTGTAAATTCCGTACCAGGTTTGGGCTCTGGGGTAAGTTTTACCCACCTTCCACTCATTTTTTCTCGACGTTCAACTTCATATCCAATGATAGGTGAACCTCCATTACTAATAGGAGGCGACCATTTAATCGTAATGTGATCTTTATCGCTATCTACTAATTCAGGTTTTCCTGGTTTACCAGGAATATCGAATTGGGCTTTGGCGACTACAGGTTTAGATGTTTTCAAAGGATCTGATCGGCCTTGTAAGTTTTCAGCCATAACTCTAAATTCGTATTTAGTGCCTTCCATCAATCGTGGAACGGTAGCATGATTATACTTAGCATTAACGTATTGCAAAGCTGGTACCCAACCTCCACCGTGAGTTAAATCTTTTTTCTCTATTACGTAAGCCGTTATTTCGCTTCCTCCATTATCTTTAGGCGGTTGCCATGATAATGTAACGCTTTGAGCTGTAACTTCTTCATATTCCAAAGGTTCTTCAGGAGGTCCTGGTCGATCTAAAACGGTTATTAAAAGAGTACCTTCATCCGTACCCCAATCGTTTTTAAGTTGTAATCTATATGCTCCAGAGTCAGAGCGCCTGGCATTTACTATATGCAATATTGTATGGTAGCCAATAGAAGTTATAGTTACTCTAGAATCTGTTTCAACTGGAGAGGTTCCTACCAACCAAGTAACCTCAGGAATAGGCTCTCCAATAAAGTTAATATCAGTACGAATTATACCACCCGCTTTCACTCTAATCTCATTCATCGGAGATTTTATCTTCGGTGGTAAATGTCTAGGTTTTGTTGTCACAACATCAGATGGTTCGCTCGGTTCACTTTGCCCGGCATCATTTACAGCTATTATTCTAAATTCGTAATCTTGACCTTCAATAAGATCTGGAACAGAGCATTTGGTCTTGTTTGCGGGAACGTGGCAAGCATTACTCCAATAAGGACTGCCTTTCTCTTTTTTCTGAACAATGTATTCAGAAATGGGTTTACCACCATCTGATTGAGGCTTGGCCCATTCTAAATCGACATGATTTTCGTCCCAATCCACAACTTGTGGTTTGCCAGGAGCACTAGGCTCATCGAATTTATTTTTAATTACAACACCATTTGGTAATTCTAATGGGTCAGATTCACCAATAGTATTGACAGCCTTTACTCTAAATAGATATTCTTTTTTGTGAATTAATCTTACAACTTCGTGACTTAGCGTGGTAGACATACCAGCATCGGACCATGTACCACGTGTAACATCCATTTTTTCAATAATATAATGAAGAATAGGGCTTCCACCATCATCTTTGGGTGCTTTCCAACTTAAGTGACAACTTTGTTTGGTAACCTCTCCGACAACTAAAGGACCTTGGGGAGGTGAAGGTCGGTCCAAAACTGTAACATTAGCTGAACAAGAAGTTGTGCCTAAATCATTAGAAAGTGTTAATGTGTATCTTCCAGAATCGGTTCTGAGTGAATGTGTAATTTCAAAATTCACGCTTGTATTGGTCACCATCATGTCAACTCTTGAACTTGGTTGTACAGTTTTGCCATCGACACTCCAAACAGCTTTGGGTTTAGGAGACGCTTCGATTGGAATAGAGTAACTAATTTTTTGTCCAACTTTTACAACTAAATCTTGCATAAATTTAGTATCAATGACTGGAGCTTGATATCTAGCTTTGGCAACAACAGCTTGAGATGGGTCGCTAGGCTCTCCTGCCCCACCTTTGTTTACAGCTACAACGCGGAATTCGTATTCCTCACCCTCAACGAGATCAGGAACAGTTGCTTTAGTTTGATTTCCTGGCACTTCACCACATTTTTCCCACGGACCATATTTATTTCTTTTTTCGATAACATAAGATTTAACAGGCGAACCTCCATCTTTTTTGGGAGGTGTCCATTCCAAATCTACGTGATCCTTGTCCCAATCTACTACCTGTGGAGTACCTGGTTTATCAGGCTTAGCAAATGGATCTTTTGCGGTAATTGGTTCAGAACTAACAAGCGGTTGAGATTCTCCGTATTTGTTAACCGCTTTTACTCGGAATTTGTAATCGTGACCTTCAATCAAATAATCAACCCTACACACAAAGAAAAAAAAATTTAGAACAAATTTAAAGGAATGATTTCAAAAAAAAAAAATTGTGTTAATTTTTACTTTGCGGATGTTGTTGAGGGTTCTCCAACTGGTACCCAACGCATGTTTTCTGTATCCATTTTTTCTACAACATAATGACTAATTTCAGCACCTCCATTATCTTTTGGAGGCTTCCAAGATAATGTAACTGAATTCTTTGTAACATTTTCTGGTTTAAGTGGTCCTTCTGGGCTTGAGGGTGCATCTATAATAAATAATTATTAAAAAATATGAAATTTAACGTTTTAAAATATAAAAATATTTTATGAATTAATATTTCTTTTCGTACCTAAAACGGTGACATTGACAGTTGCTGAATCTTTGCCATTGATATTTTTAGCATTCAAAGTGTAAACGCCACTGTCAGCTCTCTTTGCATTTGTTACTTTAAGTTTTGTGTTATAATCTTCATTAGTTATTCTGACGCGGTCGGTATTCATTAGCATGTTATCTTTGAAAATCCATTCTTTGCTTGGAGGTGGTTCTCCAGATACAGGTACATCAAGTTCAAAGTTTAGTCCAGCTTTCACCTTTATATCAATCATTGCTTTACGATCAATAGACGGTGCCTGGTTTTTAGCTCTAGCCACGTGTGTGGCAGAAGGAAGACTAGGCTCGGATTGTCCACCTTTATTAACAGCAATAACTCTAAATTCATAAGGCACCCCTTCTACAAGATCATCCACTTTTGCGTTATTAACGTCTCCCTTAACCTCGGCGCATTTTTCCCAGGTAGGACTGGATTTACTTTTCTTTTCTATTATGTATCCAGTTATTGGGGTGCCACCATCGCTTTCTGGCTTAGCCCATTCCAATTCTACAAAGTCTTTATCATAATCTTTAATTTCCGGCTGTCCAGGTTTATCAGGTTCATCTGCGTAAAAAAAAATTTTAATTAAAAAAATGTAATAATGAAAAATAGAAAACAAAGTTGTAAAAAACTTACCAAAAGGATTTTTGGCTTCAATAGCTTTATCAGCATTAAGAGGTTCAGATTTTCCTTGTTTGTTAACAGCACGTACTCTGAATTTATATTTATGATTCGGTGTGAGGCCTTTAACTTCAAGATTGGTTTCAGGTCCTATTGTTTCACCGGCAGGAACCCATCTACCAGTAGCTTCGTCTTGTTTTTCAACAACATATTTTTCAACGGGTTGTCCTCCGTCATCTGCTGGAGGTTTCCAGCTAAGTTTAGCGCCCTCTGAATTAACATCGGAAATTTTAAGGGGCCCTTCAGGTGCCTGTGGTTTATCTACGCAAAGTATAAAAAATATTTTATTTAAATTATTCTTGTCGCGTAATAAACTACTTATTTTATAATAACAATCAAAAATTATACCTATAACTGTTACTTCTACTTTAGCCGTATCACTGCCATTTATATTTTCAGCTGATATTGTGTATGTACCAGATTGTGCACGGGTAGCCATACGAACAATAATTTTAGTGCAATATTCTCCATGAGTAACTTTAGTGTTTTCAGAAGTTTTAACTTCTCTATTTTGAAAGGTCCATTTAGTTTTGGGCATCGGTTCTCCTGTAACCTATTAATTTCCTTTTATGAATATAAATTCACAAATTTTTAAATTGCAACATCGCAAACACTCTACCTTGACATCAAACGAAAAGTTTTGACCAGCTTTAATTTTAATGGGAATCAAGTTAGTTCGATCAATTCTAGGAGCTTGATTTCGAGCTTTGGCCACTATCGGAACAGTAGCTTCACTTGGTTCACCGGGACCAGCTTTATTAACAGCTTTAACTCTGAACTCATAAGTTTGGCCTTCCATTAAATCTGGTACCGTTGCTGAGGTAGCATCAGCAGGAACTTCTAACGCTTTTTCCCATTGTCCGTATTTATCCTTTTTCTCTACTATATAACCTGTAATCGGAGATCCGCCGTCTGAATCAGGGGGAGTCCATTTAAGATCAACATGATCAGCATCCCAATCAGTTGCTTCCAAATTTTTGGGTTTTCCTGGTTCGTCTGCAAGAAAATAAAATAAAAAATATATATTTCAATAATGAAATAAAGTCAAAAATTTTTACATTTTGAATTCCCTCAAAAATGAAAATAAATATTTTAAAAAATGATTGCGTACCGTATGGATTTTTGGCTACAATTGTTTGGTCAGCTACCAAAGGTTCAGATTCACCTTCAGAATTGACGGCGGCTACACGGAATTTGTATTCTTTGCCTGGTGTAAGATTTGTAACTTCCAAGTCTGTAATTTAAAATTTAAATAGATTAAATTATTGAATGAACAAATAAACTACAAGTATTTGCACAAGGTAAGTATCAACCTAAGGTAAGTATTCAACCGGTCAAAAAAAAATACTCACTTGGTTCTGTGGATCTTCCACACGGAACCCATATTCCTGTTTCAGGATCTAATTTTTCAACTTGATAGTAATCAATCGGAACACCACCATCATCTTTAGGCCTCTTCCATTTTAATTTGCAGCCTTCCTTATGAACGTCGGAAACCTAAAGTATATTTATTTTTAAGAATTAAATTAATATTTTGTACCTAATTCTTTTTTGTAAGTATATAAAAAAAGGTACAATAATAAATTACCTGCAAAGGACCTTCCGGCGGTGAAGGTTTATCGGTTACAATCACATTGACTGTAACTTGATCTTTTCCGGAAGAATTAGTAGCTATAATTGTGTATTCTCCAGAATCTTCTCTCTTTACTGGTTTTATAACTAGTTTGGTGTTATAATCCACGTTATCAATAGTAACAGTTCTACTATTTTTCAAGGTGGATCCAGCGAAACGCCATTCTATTGTTGGTGGAGGTTCTCCACTAACGTTAACATCGTATTTTAACATTGAATGACTTGTTAAAGTAACGTCCTTCAAGTTTCTGCGATCAATCTTAGGAGCCACTGGAACAAAATTATTAAAATTAAAATTTTTGAATACACTATAAGTAATAATAATTTTTTCGGACTTTCGAGAAAAATTTCTTACAAAATCTTGGTTTGGCTACGAAATTTTTGCTAGCTTCAGAAGGTTCACTTTGACCCGCTTTATTAAGAGCTGTTACACGGAATTGGTATTCGTTTCCTTCAATTAACCCGTGAACAACAGCTTGAGGTGTGGGTGTGCTGGTTTCCAAAGCTTTTTCCCACATTGTACTATATTTGTCTTTCTTTTCAATAAGGTAACCGGTTATTGGGGAACCTCCATCAGAAATGGGTTCATTCCATTTTAATTCCACTTGATTAGCATTCCAATCTACTGGTTCTGGAGCTCCGGGCTGACTTGGAACACCTGCAAAAATTTTTTCGTTTAGTGAAACAACTTTTTAGTTTTATCCATTGAATATTTAAAATCGGAAAAATAGAAAACTTACTGAAAGGATCTTTAGCAATAATAGATCCCAAAGTCTCTAATGGTTCAGAGTCTCCTTCTTTATTACAAGCTTTTACTCTAAACTTGTATTCGTGTCCAGGTGTCAAACCAGTAACTTCCATTTCCGGTTCTTTACATTTTCCCACAGGTAGCCACATACCACTATCCGTATCGAATTTTTCGACTACATATCCTTCAATTGGAGCTCCACCATCATCTTTGGGTTTCTTCCATTTTAACTGGCATTTATCTTTGGTTATGTCACTAACTTCTAATGGGCCTTCAGGTTTTCCTGGTTTTGAAGTAACTGTTACCTCAACTTCAGCTGTATCAGAACCATATTTGTTTGTAGCGGTAATTTTATAAACTCCAGTATCTTTTCTTTCAGTTCTATCATTGAAAAATTTACTGTTATTTGGCACATTTTCGATTCTTACGTGTCCCGTTTCTGAAATAGTTTTACCATTCAGGGTCCACATAACATCAGGAGCGGGTTCACCGGTAATTTTAACATCAAAAAATATAGGTTCTCCTTCATGTATAGTAATATTTCGCAAATGTCTGCGATCGATTTTAGGAGGCAATCTTCGAGGTTTGCATGTAACATGTTTACTTTCTCCACTGGGTTCACCCGGACCAGCGGCATTTACGGCTCGTACTCTAAATTGATAAGGTACGCCTTCTTCTAAATCTTCTACTCTTACTTTAGTGTCAGGTTCCTTAACCTCAGCGGCTTTAGTCCATTTGGGTGATCCAACTTCTTTTTTCTCAATTACATAGCCCGTGATAGGAGAGCCTCCATCATTGACTGGAGGTTGCCATTTAAGATCGACAAAATCTTTGTCCCAATCGGTTATTTCAGGAGTAGTTGGTGCACCCGGTTCATCAAATGGATTTTTGGCTGTAACGTAATCTTCAGCCTCTAATGGTTCAGATTCGCCTTCGGCATTAACGGCGCAAACTCTAAATTTATAATCTTGTCCAGGCATTAAATTAGATACTTCCATTTTCGGTTCTTTCGTTCGGCCGACAGGAACCCATCTGCCTGTTTCTTTGTCCATTTTTTCAACAGTGTAATATTCCACTGGAACTCCTCCATCGTCAGCGGGAGGATTCCATTTCAGATTACAACCCTCTTTGTGAACATCGCTAATTTTTAGCGGACCCTCTGGTTTAGATGGTTTGTCTATAACTGTAACTTCTACGGAAACTTCATCTTTACCTGAACTATTTTCAGCTTTTATTAAAAATACACCGTGATGACTTCTGCTCGCCGGAAAGATAACGAGTTTAGTTTTATAATCTTCATTTTCAATAGAGACCTCATTTTTAGAGTTTAAGGGAGCTTTGTTCAAAAACCAAGATTTGGATGGTGGAGGTTCTCCACTTATTTTTACATCAAATTTAATTTGCTGACCAGCTTTAATTTTGATATTTTTCAATGTTGACCTGTCAATAACCGGAGCTGCATAACGGTCTTTTGCCGTCATAGTATCACTAGGAGCAGACGGTTTACTCACTCCACCATCATTTACTGCTTTTATTCGGAACTGATATTGCATTCCTTCAACAAGATCTGGCACTTTTGCTGTAGTTTTGTTTCCAATAATTTCTACACCTTTTTGCCACTTTGAACTGAATTGATCTTTTTTTTCTATAATGTACGAAGTTATAGGTGCACCTCCATCATTTTCCGGCGGTGACCATTTTAATTCAGCAAATGATTTACCCCAATCTTTAATTTCTGGTTTACCAGGTGCATCAGGTTCATTATAAGGATTTTTAGCTGTGACCGAGGTTTCAGTCTCAAGTGGTTCTGAATCTCCCTCGGCATTTACAGCTTTAACTCTAAACAAATAATCTTTTCCTTCATTAAGACCTCCTATTTCAGCCTCAGGTTTTTTAGTTTCTGCACAAGGTACCCATCGACCCGTATCGACATCCATTCTTTCAATGACGTAATGGTCAATAGGCACACCTCCATCGTCTTCTGGTTTGTCCCATTTAAGTTTGCAACCATTCGCAGTAACGTCAGATACTTCTAACGGACCTTTTGGTTTGCTTGGTTTAGACAAAACTTCTAGTTCAAGATCAACCTCATCAACTCCAGAATCGTTCTTTGCAATTACTGTGTACACACCAGCATCGGCTCTCCTAACTTTTGAAATAGAAAAGTTAGTTTTATAATCTTCATTGTCAATTCTAATACGATCTTTGGTTTTTAATGTTTGATCTTTAAGCTTCCATGTAACAACTGGAGGAGGTTCACCCTTAATATCGGCTTCAACTTTAAGTAATTGACCGGAACGAAGGGTTTTTTTCTGTAAGTTTTTCCTATCAATGTAAGGAGCCAAAAATCGAGGTTTAGCAACAACAGTTTTCGAAGGATCACTTGGTTCACTCGGTCCAGCTTTGTTCACTGCAATAATACGGAAATCGTATTCATGACCTTCTTCAACATCTGTTACTTTAGCAAAAGTTTTTTCTCCTGGAACTGTCATGCAATCTTCCCAATTACGAGATTTTTTGTCTCGCTTTTGAATAATATATTTTTCAATGGGAGCACCACCGTCATCTTTAGGAGCTTTCCATTCTACATCTACAAAATCTTTATCCCAATTAGTCAAATCAGGACGATTCGGTTTTCCTGGTGGGTCAAACGGATTTTTAGCAATAAAAGGTTTAAGTTGCTCTAATTCTTCTGATTCACCCTCTTTGTTAACTGCTTTTACTCGGAATTTGTACGGTTTACCTTCTTGCAACCCAGTTACATTAAATTCAGGTTCGGATGATTTACCGCAAGGAATCCAGTGACCAGTTAAAGGATCTAATTTTTCTATTTCGTAGTATTCAATAGGCGTGCCTCCGTCATCCTCTGGCTTTTCCCATTTCAATTTGCAACCATGCTTTGTAATGTCTGAAGCTTCCAGCGGACCTTTTGGCTTGCCAGGTTTGCCTAATACAGTAATATCAAATTCGGCAGTATCTTCACCGACACTATTTTTCGCGTGAATGGTGTATTTACCACTGTGTATTCTCTTTGCCTTCATTATAAAGAATTTAGTATTGTAATCGATATTATCGATTTTAATTTCATCATTGGAAACTAACTCTTTATCATTAAATTTCCATGTGACAGTTGGTGGAGGTTCTCCACTAATATTGACATCCAATGGAATTGAAAGATTGGCTTTTATAGTTATACCTTGCAAATTAGTACGATCGATGTGGGGTTTCAAAAATCTGGGTTTGGCAGTATGTGGGTTGGTTGCTTCGCTAGCGTCACCTGGTCCAGCTTTGTTTACAGCTCTAACCCTAAATTGATACTGATTTCCTTCTTCAAGTTTTGGAACTGTTGCGGTACAAACATTCCCATCTACCTCTACTGCTTTTTCAAATGTTACTCCAAATTTATCTTTCATTTCGACAATGTAACCAGTAATAGGAGCGCCACCATCTCGTATTGGTGGTTCCCATTTCAGTTTTACCATATTTTCGTTCCAATCGACAATATCGGGCATTCCTGGGGCAGAAGGTGCATCGTATGGATTTTTAGCCACGATTGAAGTGTCTGTCTCCAAAGGCTCTGATTCTCCTTCTTCATTAACAGCTTTAACTCTAAAGTTGTATTTGTGATTCGGTTCTAATCCGGTTATGTTTAACTCAGTTTTATCCCCGTCAGCGTAACCCGCAGGTACCCATCTTCCAGTTTGTGCATCCATTTTTTCTACAACATATCCAGTAATAGGAAGTCCACCGTCGTCTTTTGGCTTCTGCCATTTTAATTTGCATCCCTCTTTATGAACATCAACTGCTTCAAGAGGACCTTCAGGTTTACCGGGTTTATCCAATACACATATTTCAACTTCCGCCTCATCTTTTCCGGATGAATTTTCCGCTTTGAGTACATAAGTACCACTATGTTGTCGAGATGAATCTGATACTTGCAATTTGGTATTGTACGGCTCATGTTCAACCTTTGTGTTGGGTCCTGTTTTTAATTCTTTTCCTTTAAAGAACCATGCTGTTTTTGGCGCAGGTTCTCCTTTTACATCAACATCTAATCTAATAGTCTGACCAGCTCGTACCGTAACTTTTTGCAATTTTTCTCTATTAATGACTGGTTTAGCATATCTAGCTTTTGCTAAGTGAGGTTTAGTTGAATCACTAGGGTCACTAGGTCCCGCTTTATTAACTGCTCTTACTCTAAACTGGTAAGTATTTCCTTCTTTGAGATCAGGCACCGTGGCTTTACAATCAGGTGTGTTTGTAGTTAAAACTTCTTCCCATGAGCTATGAAGTTTTTCTTTCTTTTCAATTACATATCCTGTGATAGGAGCTCCTCCATCATTTTTAGGAGCAGCCCACTTAAGATCAACTTTGTGTTCATCCCAATCAACAATTTCCAAGTTCGTTGGCTTACCAGGAATGTCGTATGGGTTTTTAGCTATTGTAGATTTTTCTGTTTCTAATGGCTCTGATTCACCTTCATCATTTACAGCCTTTACTCGGAAATTATATTCATGACCTTCAGCCAAACCTTTGACATCGAATTCTAAATCATCGGGAGATGTTTTTCCAACAGGCATCCATCGACCTGTATTTTTGTCTAACTTTTCTACTACATAGCCAGTGATGGGTTTTCCACCGTCATCTTCTGGTTTGTCCCATTTAAGTTTGGCACCGTTTTTGGTGACATCGGATACTTTTAGAGGACCTTTAGGTTTAGATGGAGCTGCTAAAATTGTAATATCTACTGTTGCTTCATCTTTACCATGTTGATTTTCGGCAACTATTTTGTATAATCCAGATTGTTTTCGAATAGAATCTACTATAGAAAATTTTGTGTTGTAATCGACATTGATAATTTCTACATTGCCAGTAGACTGTATTTCTTTTTCCATGAAAATCCATTTAATGGTTGGAGGAGGTTCACCTCTTACGTCAACATCTAATTTTACAGGTTTTCCAGCTTTCACTACAACATTTTTCAAATTTGTGCGATCTATGCGGGGTTTCAGTGCGCGGTGCCTGGCAGTATGCATTTTGGTAGGATCAGAAGCTGGTGATGGACCCGCTTTATTAACCGCCACAACCCTAAATTGATATTCTCCTCTTTCTTTTAAGTCCCCAACTTTGGCTTCCAAAGTATCTCCAGGAACTTCAACGGCTTTTTCCCAATCTGGTTTAAATTTATCTTTCTTTTCAATAATATATTTTTCAATCGGAGCTCCTCCATCACTATCGGGTTTTTTCCATTTGAGTTGAACACTTTCATTATCGTAATCAACAATTTCAGGAGTTCCAGGTTTAGTTGGTTCGTCGTACGGGTTTTTGGCTGTGATTGCAACTTCTGTCTCTAAAGGTTCAGAATCACCTTCGTCATTAACTGCAGTGACTCTAAATTTATATTGATGATTAGGTTCTAATCCGGAAATAAAAGCATCCTCCCTATCACCAGGGACTCTTGCAACTCTAACCCATTTATTTGTTGCTAAATCTTTCTTTTCTATTTCGTATTCCTTTATTGGTGACCCACCATCGTCTTCAGGTTTCTTCCATTCCAAACGGCACGATTCTTTTGTAACATCTTTTACCTCCAAAGGTCCTTGAGGACTGGCAGGTTTGGCTAATACCGTTAATTCAACGTACTCCTCATCTTTTCCAGAAGCGTTTTGAGCCGTTAATTTATATTTTCCCGTGTCTCGCCTTGTTGCGTTGACAATTGTAAATTCAGTGTGATAATCAACGTTTTCAATTTTTATTCTTTCGGTAGTTTTTAAAGCAATATTATCTTTCCAGGTCCATATTAACTCTGGTGGTGGTTCACCAGTGACATCCACAGACCATTTATGTGTTCTTCCAGCTTTAATAATAATGTTCTTCATGCCGGTTCGATCAATAGAGGGTTTCAAGTTTTTGTGTTTGCATAAATGATTGTCAGTAGGTTCACTAGCTTCACCTGGACCAGCTTTGTTAACGGCTCTAACTCTAAATTGATAGACACTTTTTTCTTTTAGGTCATTAACCTTGAAAGTTGTATCGGCTCCCTCGGTTTTACCGCATTCAGACCAATCCGGTGAAAATTTATCTTTCTTTTCTATTATGTAATGCAAAATGGGTCTTCCACCATCACTTGTGGGTTTGGCCCATTTGAGAGTAACACTTTGGTTGTCGTAGTCAGCAATTTCGGGTTTACCCGGTTTGTTGGGTGCATCTGAAAATAAAATTTTGAACTCGATAAAAAACTACTTAAAAACAAAAATATTATACATAAATGTTAATAGAGTAATTACACATTAGCGCATTATTCTTATTTAAAGTAGTAGAAAAAAAAAAATTAAATAATTATGGATATTTTACATTTATTAAAGCATTAAGTAAATACCGTAAGGATTTTTGGCTTCGATAGGCTCGCTTGTTTCCAATGGTTCTGATTCTCCCTCTTTATTAACAGCTTTAACTCGAACTTTATATTTCTTCTTGGGGGTTAATCCTTCAATCTTAAAGGAAGTATCGTTTGGTCCGACCTCACCGGCTGGCACCCATCTTCCAGTGTCAAGATCCATTTTTTCCAAAACATATCCAGTAATGTCACTACCACCAGTATCTTCTGGTTTTTTCCAAGACACTGTCATGTGATTTGCTCGAACTTCTTCCGCAACCAAGGGTCCAGTTGGTGCACTTGGTTTTCCCAAAACCACAACCTCAGCAACTTTTTCACATTTTCCAGATGAATTTGTTAAAATAAGCTTGTAATTTCCACTGTCAGATCTAACTGACCTACGAATGGTTAAAACAGTATTTTTTTCATATTTGTCAATTGTAATTCTATCTCCATCATCTTTAACTTCTTTTCCATCTAATTCCCACAAAACTTCTGGTTCAGGTTCTCCTCCGTATTTTATATCATATTTTATTATCTGACCTTTTTTGATTATAATGTTGACTAAATCATTTCCAATTATGTAAGGTTTAACTGGAAAAAAAAAAAAAATTAAAATTAAACACATTCGTTAAGAATATAATATTAGTAGTTAAAGGGGGTTTGCTATAAATTAAAAAATGTGATCCTACCAAATCTACATTTTGCTATAATGGGTTTAGTTGCATCGCTAGGTTCTCCAGGACCAGCTTTATTGATAGCTCGAATACGAAATTCGTATTGTGTTCCTTCTTTTAATCCGTCAATAGTAGCTTCCGTAACATCACCAACAATTTCTTTTCCTTTAATCCAATCTTTACCGAATTTTTCCTAAAATGAAATCAAATTAATAAACAAAAATAAAAGATAACCCTATATTTTATGTTATCCGCTTTTATTTTTACTTTATTACCTTATATTCTATGACGTAACCAGTTATTGGTGCTCCGCCGTCTTTGTCCGGTTTTACCCATTTAAGATCAGCGTGATCTTTATCCCAATCGACAACTTCAACATCTTTAGGTTTCGAAGGCTCATCTTAAATAAAATAAAAATCCCAAAAATGAAAATTTTTGAAAAGAATACTAAAAAATTTTTTTTAAGGAAATTAATTACCCCAAGGATCTTTAGCCAAAACGACTTTAGGGAATGCCGCTGGTTCCGAAGGTCCAATTTTATTAACGGCTCGAACTCTAAATTTATATTCTTTTTTGTGAACTAAATCTTCGCATTTATAAGTAAGAGGTGATGTGTCACCTTTAACTTCTCCAACATTTATCCAACCGCCTGCGATAATTATTTAATATTTATTATTTACCTCCAATCAGTTACTTTTATTTAAAAAATAATTAATCATACCTTTCACGGACATATCCATTCTTTCTATTACATAATGTTGAATTGGTGAACCACCATCATCTGGACCTTTTTTCCAATTTATGACACAACTACTTTGATAAACATCTGTAACTTCAACATCAGTTGGAGCAGAAGGTACATCTGGAAAATATAAAAAAATTTTTTTAATAAAACATATTATGTAAATAATTTATAAAAGTTATGTAATATTGTTTTATGATAAACCTATTTACCTTGCATATTGATAGGAATGATTTGACTGATTTCTCCTTTGGCATTGCTAAATTTGAATTCGTAATCACCAGACTGTGCTCTTGATGGTTTTTTAAATTTAAACGTGACTCTGTCTTCCGCCACAACAACTTCAACATCTTTCGATAACAAAGCTTTACCATCTTTAAAGATTTTAGCTTCAACTGGAGAAGTTCGCGTACCGTCAATTTTATAAGGTATTTCGAAGACAATAGGTTTTGTTGCAGGTTCATTAATTTTATCGGGTGCAGTAATAATTGGTTTTGATTCTGCTTTCTTCACATTGAGTTGACAGCTAGATTCTAAATTACCTGACTTGCAAGTAATTTCACCAGCATCATTCATATCAAGTTTATTGAAAACTAATTGGTGTTTTCCACCTCCCAAGTTTTTAATTTCTACCCTGTCACTTGGAGTTATAGGTTTACCATTTAAGAACCATTCAGCTTCAGCTGTTTTATCTTGAAGTTCAATTTCTAATACAAGTTTTTCATCTTCGATGCCGACGGAATCTTTTAATTTTTTATTGAACTTATTAAGATAATTAATAACAAGTTCGGCTTCTGTTTTATCGGCATTAGAAACGCATTTGTACATTCCAGCATCTGTGATTTTGCAGTCTTTAATAACGAGTTTTCTTTTTCTTCCGTCGGCACTAATGACCATTCTTTTATCGGGTACAATTTCTTCTTCTCCTTTATACCATTTGACTTCTCCGGAAGCATCGTTAAGTTCGCACAGGAGAGTGACATTATCTTTTTCAATAAGCTGTTGACTTTTAAGGACTTTAACAAATTTGTAAGGATATTCAGTCAAACTAACTTTTGTAGAAGTTTTATCTTCTTGTTTGTCTAATTTACATGTGAAATCTGAAATATCTGTCTCTTTGCATGATTTAATTGTTAAACGGCAGAGTCCAGACATTTCTTTGGAAATTTCATAATCTCCACCATCCTAGAAAATTTAATTAGAGTAAATACAATAACTACTTTTTATTTAAAATGACAAAAGCATTATTAGGAAAAAAAAAAAAAGAAACCTTAAGTTTTTCACTTCCTCGATACCAATGAACTACGGCCATACTGTTAGATACTGTACATTCTAATAATAATTCATGTCCAAAATAACCATCGTATTTCTTTTTTAATGGTTTTGTAAAAGTATATGACGGAGGAGGTTCTGTGAAATAGATTTGAAAATATTATTTTTTACGATTTAATGTTGTCAAATTATAGTTTTAAAAAAAAATATAAAAAAATTAAAATTTACCATCAACGTTGAGAAAAGCCGTACACGAAATGCCAGCGATTTCAATGGTATATTTACCAGAGTCTTCAACTTTAGGATTAGAAATTATAAGGTTATAAACATCATTTTCAACTTTCATTTTATACTTTGAACCAGGAAACAATTCCTAAAAATATACAATACGTATATTTAATTCCGGTCATTTCCGAAGAAAATAAAAAATCATTAATTTAAATTTAAAAAAAAAAAAAACTTACATCTTTTCTGAAGAACCATTTTGGTTTACAATTCGGTCTTGAAAAGATGGCTTCAAAAACGACTTTTTTATCTTTACCTTCTTTTGCAATTTGATCAACCAATGGTTTTAAGAATGAATCCGCTTTCTGAAAAAAAAAAATCAAATAATTTCATTAAGTACAGTAAAGTAAACTTGATTGGAAATATAATTTTCAAAATTTTCTGAAAATAAAAAAGAAAATCTACATGATTAAAAACAAAAAAAGGAATAGACTATATAAATTCTACGTAGAATTTAAATTTATTTTTAAATAGAATAAATTTAGTTCAAAACTACACAATCATATTTCTAACTAAATTTTTTTTTTTTTTTTTGATGTTTGCCGTTGTACAAGAATGTATACAAAAAATTTGCACGTGCAATAATATTTTAAATTTATTTAGTGATATGAAAGTGAATGAAGATTCTTCGGTTAAACGATAGAGAAAAAAAAAATTTTTTTAAATACTAATTAAGTGATAAAGTATTATTTAATCTACGAAGAAGAGTTTGTTTTGTTTTTGATAAATTGGGCTTTAGAAATTTTAAATCAAACCTCTTTTAATATTCTCTCGTTTACCGATCTTAATTTAGGCCATTCAATTAACGTATTTTTTGGTCTGATATTATCGACACCGATTGAAAATAATTTTTCCCACTCACCCATACATTTGGCATGTTGAATACAACGTTCCTGATAATTACGTAAATTAAACTTAAATATTTAATTGATATTCTTGCAGTATGAAAATGTTAAGACATTTAAAATAAAAAAAATTTTTTTTTTTTTTTTAACCCTTACCTTTTCAACCTTTTTGAGTTGTGGCGTTGGTTTTTCTACTTCTTTTAATTCTCCCCAATCTGGATCTTCTTTATCTCTTCCCCATTTTGCATATTTTCTTTTCTTAAGCATAGCTCTAAAGTCCATACCGCTTGCATCTGTAAAAAGTATAAATGCATTACTTTTGATTTTAAAAAAAACGGTCGTTATCGATAGGCTCGATAGGTATTATGATTACCTGATACGTAAAGCATCATTTCGGCGGAATCTTCACCGTGAACGTTACTCACGACAACTCTATATTTTCCTTCGTCGTTGGGTTTTATTTTTCTTATGCATAAAGTGATTGAATTCGTGTCTCCATCGGTAACCATTTTATATCTACCACCATCGATAATTTCCGTCATTCCTTTGTAAAATCTAAATGTCGGAGCCGGATTACCCTCGACGGATATTGTAATATAAGCAGTTTGATCTAAAATGAATCGACTTCGTTTAAGAAGTAGAAGAAAATCAAATAAAAATTACTTTAAAAAAAATAACAAACCCTCGATAGCGCTGTAGCTTTCTTGAAAGTCAACAATTGCAGGAGGTCCAGGATTTCCAATGGGTTTCAAAGGAGTCGATGATTTATTAATAAGTTCTTCTATGTCTGCAACACTTGGACGACGTGCATCAGACGGACGTCTTCGCTATAATTTTTATATCATCAAATTATATTATCTAAATTTTATTAATTAATTAATTTTTTTCATAAAATTTTTTAATTGTATTATAAATTGTTATTTTTAATGTTATGTGTTTTATGTGCGTGTGCTTTAAAAATAGTATGTGTAGGTGAAAAAAAAAATAAATAAATAAATAAAACGTGCTGTACAAATTGTGTTTACAAAGTGCAAAAATTGTTTTTAAAAAAAAACATTTATTGATTGTTTTTTTTTTTTTTTGTAGTGCTGATTTGTAGTAAAAAAAAAAAAAAAAAAAATTATAAATGTGAAATTATTTGCTGCTTAAGTGACTAAATCAAGTGCATAAAAAAAAAATAAAACGTGCATTTTGTGTGACGGCTAATCTTCAGAAAAGTTATTTTTTAATATTATTATTATTATTATTATTATTATTTCCGAAGTTAAGCCTTATTTATAAATGAATTCGATTAAATTGAATAATTAAATTTGATGATGATACGAATGAAGTGATGATAATTATAATTAATCTTATTAATTATTTTAACGATAATTTAAAAAAAAAAAAAAAATGCCAACATCCAATTTGTGTTCCAGTTCTCATCTCACCTTTTTATCATCCAAGACTTCACCGGGCCGTAATTTACGAGAGTCCTAAAATTATAAAGTTCGTCAACAACCAAAAAAAAAATACACATAAAAATTTGTTTGTTTGTTTGTTTGTTTGTATTTTGCGTTTCGGATAAAAAATTTTTGTTTGTTTGTGTGCGTGTGTGCGTGTGCGTGAGATTTATTTTTCGCGTGGTAAATTCATCGAGGAATCAAATCCTTTTTTCAAATCCTTTTTTTTTTTTTATAAATTTTTCATTTAAGAAAAAAAAAAAAAAAAAAACAAAAAGTTTTACCTCATCTGAAATGATAAGACTAGCACGTCTCGGTTGTTCTTCCGGAGGTATGAGTGAACCTCTTCTACTCGTGTTACCAGAAGCTGGAGCCAAAGAACTCTTTCTAGCTTCTGCACCGGGACTCCTCTCTCTAATGACTTCAATTTTAGGCGCTCCTCCTGGAGCTTTAATTTCAGGAACTTTAACCTGCGAAAATTATTATTACATAAAACAATTAATTAAAACGTTTTTTTTTTTTTTTTTTTTTTTTAAATCTAAAAATATTATTCAATTGAGCTGTGTAAAAATAGAGCAAAAAAAAAAAAAAAATATTTAA